CTTCCTCCGCGAGGGTTCGCCGCGAAACGGCTGGTACGAAGCCTGTTCCGAGACGCCGCTGCCGGCGTACTTTGCCGCAGCGGGGGCGCAGCGGCACGTCAACTTCGGCGGCTCCACGGACTCTGACGGCCACTACGACCTGCCCGGCGACTTCGGCGACCTGCGGGCCGGCTTACGGGTCCTCGAAAGCTCGGCCGGCGGCAGCCAACTCGCGGGCTGCTGCCCCTCGGTCTGCAGCAGCCAGCTGCTGCGGCCGGTTGCTGCAGGCTCGCCACTCTCCGTGCCGCGGATCCGAGACCCCTTATTCGTGGACCCCACCTCGCCGAGTCTACGAAGCTTCTGCGGGCAGAGAAGCCCCCTGGCTAGTCCGCTGGGCGACGATGAGGGTTTCGAGGACGCACGGTCGGTCGTGGCCGCGGCGCCTTTCGGCTTCTTTCCGAACGGGAAGGCGGAAGTGTTTGCACGGTTACCGGGACAGCGGATACACGAATACGTGGAGGAGTTGCGGCGATACCGGGACCAACTGAAGCAGTCAAACCGGCTGTACACACAGGTGCTGGACATGCCCTGCCAAGTACTGCTGTGGATGAGCGGATTACGGGGCGCCATTGCCTTCGTGCTCGCGCTCTCAGTACCGGACCTGGGCGGCAGCAAATCGGGCACGCACAACCGCAACCTGATCATCACCACTACGCTCGCCATCATCGTGTTCACCACCGTCGCCCTCGGCAGCCTCATCGAGTTCTTTGCACTCCGGTTCAACATTATCCGTCGCGTCGAAGAAAACGAGGGCTTCAGCAGCCGTAGCTCCATCACGGCACAGTCAGCGGAAAATGAGGAGTGGGGCAAAGCCATCATCGAAGGCTGCAAACAACTCTGGCACTCACTCAAACACTCCCCCTACCGCAAACACACCTCCCCGCTCCTTTCCAACTTCGACGCCGGCTCCAAGTCGAGACGCCGTTGCCGCTGCAACTCCGCGTCCCCGCCAGACGCCTTTAGTTAGTTTTGAACAGAAAGATCTCGCCAAAAATATAAATGATCAACGCTGTGCCACACCAGACCAACACACCGCAATCCGTAAGCCGACGTGGACCGAGCTCCGCTTCGCCTCCGCTTTGAAGTTATGCCTCGGAATTTAAGCTACAGATTTTCTTTCAGTACGAGTTGGCACCGAGCCCGTTGATGTTGGCTGCTCGCGCCAACGCTACTTCGACCCCCGTGGTAAAGGTGCAGTCGAGCCAATACGCTGAGCCTTTGAGAATCGACCCTCCTGTGGGCATTGACCTTGCCCAGGCAAACAGATCTCCGATCGCCAGCGAGCGGAAGCACCACCATGCCGGCAAACAGTCTCGCCGGAAGCGCGCGCCTGTCGCCAAGAAGAACCGCTGCTGCTGTTAGACTCGGTCGTTTCCGACTTGGTCATTTCAGGCTCGGGCTCCAACCCAGGGGTCCGCTTATTTTTCACTATGAATATACTTGCTGTATTGGTTGAAGAAATAGACGACGAGGGTGGCAGCTTCTGCCCTGACGCGACAGTGCAGAAGCACCTTCTGGAGACGCTGCGGTCCCAGGAGGGCGACATCGTAAAGGTCGGCGTCGTTCGCGGCCAGAAGGGCGTGGGCCAGCTGCACATCAGCGGCGACAAGTACCGTGTGCAGCTGCTTCCTCTGGACCAGTTCAGTGCGCCGGAAGACGTGTTTCGGTGGCTGGGAGAAGAAGGCAAGTTGACGGAGGATGCAGAGCGCGCTGGGAATACGGAGGGAAGAGCGGCGGATGAGGAAGTGGAGACGCTACCTCGGTGCACATTGGCTAAGCGGCTCAAGTTGACGGTGCGGCCCCGCCCGGACAGGTACATGTTCGGCGCGTTGACTGGGGCACAGTTCGACGCTTGGAAAACGCATCCGTGGGAGCTTCCTGGCGCGACAGAGATGAATGGAGTGCGGCGAGAGGCGGTGCCGTTGGTGGACTTGTTTGTAGCCTTGCCTCGTCCCCGACTGTTTGACAAGTTGCTGCAATACATGGGGTCGATGTCGATTGGACAGGTGGGAATGTTCGTCGGCACGCGTTCAGACCTGGCGTATTTTTCGTCTCCGAAGATGGGCGCAGAGTGCATCGCCAAGTCGCTGAGGCTGGGCCTGGAGCAAGGCATGCGGACGACGCCACCGCCCGTGACCGTGTCTGCGTCTCTGAGCGAGGGGCTAAAGCAGCTTTCGGCCTTTTACGACGAAGCAGCCTTCCGTGCGACCGTCTCACTCGTGGCGCACCCCTACGCTGTACACGACCGCACGCCGCTGCACCTCATGGACCCCGCCGTCGGCCTGACGCTACATCAGGGCCCCGTGCTACTGGTGCTCGGTCCCGAGGGCGGCTTCACCAACGAGGAAGTCCAACTGCTCCTCACCTGCCTCCCAAACCCGCATCTCATCACTCTCGGCAAAGACATCCTTCGATGCGAAGTAGCAATCCTTTCTCTAATTGCGCAAACCAACCTACTCCTCACCGCGCCCCGCTCCCAACCGCCTTACCTCCGGTTACCGACGCCACAACTCCTACAAGCGCCCATCAAACTACCCGTACAAGGACGAAGAAGCTGTCAACGGGAACAGAAGCCTCTACCCGAACAAAAGACCATACTCGAACGGAAGACCATACCCGAACAGAAGACCTGTCCACCTGAACCGAGACATTAAACTCCGGGTGTCTACTTGGTAACAGCTCAGAGCCAGCAGGTCAGCCGTGTGGCAGTGTTGCCTTTTCGTTCTTCATAAACTCTTCACCGGATGCGGTTCTCGTGCTGACGTCCGGATCATGTCGGTACTCAGCCAAGAACGCCTCGGGACTACTCGCGGAAAAAGGCCACGGCAAGGCCCGTGGTAGAGGACCGATGGCTTCCAGCCGACTTCGGTGTTGCTGTGGTCTGCCATCTCAGGTTGCAACAGAGAGTGGCTGGCTACTCACCAAACTGCGGGTTGAACTTCATCACACGTCGTGACCTCGCGTCGTGACCTCGCGTCGTGGCCTCGCGTCGTGTCTCGAAAGGAGCTAATGGGCTGACGCTCGTAAATATCTGGCAAGAAGTGTGTGATCCGGTTTGGATCGGACCAGGTCCGTACGCAAGGCCATCTCGTTGCCCCGGTAGCGTAAGACTCACTCTAGATCTTCCTCACTTACTAAAAGACAACAACACGCCGAAGTTCCGAACACTGCGTGCCGACCGAGATTATGTGTGACCGAGTGACTGACCGAGTGACTGACCTGCCGGAGAGGGCATGTGCAAAGTTTTCGGCACACCGATCATCACTGCGTGTCAAGCGATTTGCACCCTCCTGTCCACGCAAGATGGCGCCATATTACTCGCCACCCGGTCCTGCATAGTTAGAGCCCTGCATAGTTAGAGCCCTGCATAGTTACAGTAGATCAGACTTAGGGGCGGACATTCGATCGAACTGCTTTCGGTGTTCAGAGTCTCTAAACCCTACAATCCGAGTGTCCATCATCGGGTGCCGATATCGGTGCAGCCAGGCTGCCGAAAACTTGCACTACCAAGAGTGGGACTACCAACCGCTGCCACATCAAGAAGCGACGCGCTTCGACAATTTGTGCCCACTTTTATGTTCACCCGTTGTCGCCAGCTCGAGACCCCCCTCATACTTGTAGCATACACCTGCCTTTACCAGTAGGTTATACCAGTTGGTTATACCAGTAGGTTATAGATGGGCGCCTCACAGGAACTGACAACGGAGACAACGACAGCGCCGGCTAGAAGCTGTCAGCCCACGCATCTTGCCAGCCCCTCATGTGCCTCGTTAGCCTTGATCAAATGACTTGTAATCGTAGGCACATCTCGCCAGGGCCTTTAGAAAGTTTTTTTGTCAACTGCTCGTTTTGTTCTCCCGTCACGTCTTCTTTTAGACCCAGGCCGAATTGCTGTAGTCATCAAGCACCGACTGCGCACTAACGACAGGCCCCACCAAGGGGGACACTACGGAAGTACTTGAGAACTCTAGAGATGTGGTTATGAGTTACATGTTGCACAAACAGAGACCGAACTGGGCACACAAGCGAACCGTTGAAGATTTATTATTCACCCAGGTTCACAATCACAAACCGGCAGGACGGCGAGTGAGCGTGGCACCAGCGGCATCCGCTCCTGCCAACCCTACCTCGCCCAATATGACGATAGCAGACACGTTTCGGACTGTGCATGAGCAACTCACTAAAATCGCGCACAACATGCTCCGTCTCGTTCGACTTGGGGTGGTCGTTTGGACATACCCCAAGAACGGCGCACTTGCCAGCGACTTCGACTCCACAGTACCTAAGCACTTCATACCGTGCCAGGAAGAAATCCAGGCGGTATGAGCCGGCGCCATTACGCCTGATCTTAGCGGGTATCCAATCTACTACGCTGTGAAATTAATTTTTTCAAACAGCTGACTAGCCAGGCCAGTTGTCGGATGTCAGCTCAAGACCAGCCAGGCCAGTCGTCAGCTCAAGAAATAAGGCCAGGCGATCTTGTGACTTGAGGCCTACAACAGGCTTGCTCACACTAGCGGCCGACTTTCACAACCGTCTTCGGAGTGGATCTACCGTGAGGTCAATGTCCTTGACGCCTCCTCGCCAGAGGGCCTTGAGCAAGATACGTTACCTTGCCGTGGTCCCAAGTGGCACGACGTTCATGAGGGCGGGCTTCTCTAATGTTCCCCAATGTCCAGTAGTTCTTGCTGGTGTAATGCTGGCTGGGCACAGTCGAGTCAGTAGTTCGGATCGCAGTGAAATTACCAGCTGTCGGGAGGCGCAGACCTGGGGTGGGTCCAGCTCTGGTTCGCGAGAGATAGCGGCTTCCGTCATGAACGACAGAGGTGATGGTCAATCACTGACAACATATCCTGAATCCTGACAGACCCCAAAAAGAAAAGCCGTCCGAAAATCGTCCGTGGACGTTAGCAGGGCTTACTCGGACACACTGGTAGCGAATGACGGGAGGCCAGGAAGGAGCAGCAGCGACAGAAGCGTCAGGATCGAGGAACGGACGGCTTGGGCGACCGACGGCTGCGGCGAGTCTAGACGAGGGCTCGCACCGTCGATGTGCGATAGGGGTTTTGGTGGCGACCTCGTCCTCCACGACTGTTTCGTCCTCCACGACTGTTTCGTCCTCCACGAGCCCGGGAGGAGGCTCGTAGCGTCCGTGCGCGGCAGGGATCTCGACGACTGCCTCACCCACTTCGATCGGGTGGGGGCACTTGTAGCTGGCGAGGACCTCGTCCAGACTGGCCTCGGGACCTCGTCCAGGCTGCGAAAATTCGGGCTTGAGCGGCCGGCTTAAAACCCCTTTTTCGTTCCTTAGATTTTCTTCTACGCGGTGGATAGAGTCGTCGTTCATGTCATTGCCTACCATCATTGCCGATCTCCATCAGCGGCTCAACAACACGCACCGCGTCAAGCGAACGACCGTTGTAAAAGACCGGCATCATTCCGCGAGCTAAAGAAGCTGCACCCATCAGCGACTCCGACTCCATAGGAGTTAAGCACCTCATCGTTCCACCGTTTGACTCTGAAAAATAAGCCTTTTGGTGGCCAAGAAATTTGGCACACAGTTCGGCTGGTTAGGCACGACACGTTTGTGGAGGGGCCCGCTTCGTCGAGACCACGACCACGGGGGGTCGATCCCACGACCGTAGGGTTAGGAACTACGCACGCGAGTAAGAAGCGGGACGGCAGGGGTCCAGACTCTGGGGGTCATCGGCCGTGTCCCAGGCCAAGTAGTCCGAAATGTTCACACATCATGGAGCACTGTCGTTCCAGTAATTATTTGACTATCGCTCTCAGTCCCCAATGTGCCTCGTTAGCCTCGATCAAATGACAACGATACAAGTCATTTGATCTAGGCGCATCTCGCCAGGACTGTTCAGAAGGTTTGTAGCCTGTTCGTTTTGTCCTCCCGCCCTAGTAAGGGCACACTACGGAAGAACTTTAGAGACGTGCCACACACAAGGTGCACAAACAGAAACCGAGCGCGGCACACAACCAAACTGTTGAAGGTTTGTCACTCACTCGGATTAACGATCACTCACGACGGCGTGTGAGTTTGGGAGAAAAGCGAAGGAGTGCATCGCCCGTGCTTGTTACAGGTGTGACGTTGGTGGTAGTAGACTATGTGTTACTCAGTGACAGCTGTAGTGACAGAGGGGAGGTGAGGAGCGATTTTCGAGAAAATCGACGAAGGGACGGCTCAGACGATCGGCGGCTTCGGCGAGCCTGGAGGAGGTTACACAGCGTGGGGCAGGGGCCTCGATAACTCCTTCGCCCACTATGACCACCCCCTCCATTATGACCGCCTCGTCCTCTGCGACCACCTCGTCCTCTACGACCGCCTCGTCCTCTACGACCGCCTCGTCCTCTACGAGTTTGGGGGCGCGGTCGCAGCGTCGGTGTGTGGCCGGGATCTCGACCACTGCCCCGCCCACTTCGACCTTGTGGAGGCACTTGTAGTTGGCGAGGGTCTTCTTGAGACTGGGAACCGGAGTAAAGCCCATGAAAGTTCGGGCGCCCTCATACTTGAAAGCTTCATTGATCGCCGGTTCTGTGGACTTTAGGAAGCATGTTAAGTATCGCAGGTAATCGTTGCGCGGGCTTTGGTCGTCGAGTTCGCCTCCCACTCGCGCGAGACTTTTGTCGAGGCCAACTAACGATAGCAGCAGAGAAGCTTGAACCATCGGACTTCGCACGAGCAACTCAGTGAATTCGCGCACAGCATCCTCGTTCTCATTCGACTTAGGGCGCTCGTGTGGATCCACGCCCAAAAACGCCTTGCCTCCAACGATTAGCGCATGGGACCGGGCGCACTCCGTTAGCTCATCAAGTAAAAAGCACACAGCATCCGTCATTGTCGTCAGCTCCGCACCCTCATCCATCATTTCCTTCAGCGGCTCAACAACACGCACCACGTCAAACGAACACCCGTTGTAAAAAACCGGCATCAACACGTGTGCCAAATTAGCCGCACTCGCTGGTGACTTCAACTCCACAGCAGTTAAGCACTTCATTCTCCCACCGTTTGCGCTCGAGGAACCAAAAAAATTGGGTCGGCAGAAAAATAGGCACACAGTTCAAACTGGGTACCTAGCAAGGTACCCAGTTCGACATGCAGTTGGGTCTGCTCCCCCTTCGCTTGAACACAACAGGATGGTCCCTTACAGGAACCGACAACGGACACGAGGAATCACACGTGCTAGAAGCTGTCAACGCACACATCTCGGCTGCAGTGACCAGGAATCTTTCAGAACTTCGCGACGGTCTTGGCTGCAGTGTCCTCCCGTCA